AGAGAGACTAGGTCTTAAAAACAAAAAGGAAGGCCAGGTGCGGTGGCTTATGCCTGCAATCCCAGCACTTTGGGAGGCCGAGGCGGGCAGATCACGAGGTCAGGAGTTTGAGACCATCCTGGCTAACACAGTGAAACCCCGGCTCTACTAAAAATACAAAAGATTAGCCGGGCATGGTGGCACGTCCCTGTAATCCCAGCTACTCAGGAGGCTGAGGCAGGAGAATCACTTGAACCTGGAAGAAGAAGTTTGCTGTGAGCCGAGATTGTGGCATTGCACTTCAGCCTGGGCAACAAGAGTGAAACTCCATCTAAAAAAAACAAATAAAACAGGGAGGGGAGCATCACACACTGGGGTCTGTTGGGAGGGGATAGGGGAGGGACAGCGGGAGTAGGAAGGTGAGGGAGGGATCACATGGGGAGAAATGTCAGATACAGGTGACGGGAGGATGGAGGCAGCAAACCACATTGCCATGTATGTACCTATGCAACAATCCTGCATGTTCTGCACATGTACCCCAGAATCTAAAGTGCAATAAAGTATATATATATATATATATATGTATATTTAAAAAAAACAAAAGGGTAGCTGGGCGCGGTGGCAGTCACCTGTAATCCCAGCTACTCGGGAGGCTGAGGCAGGAGAATTGCTTGAACCTGGGGACGAAGTATGCAGTGAGCCAGATTACGCCACTGCACTCCAGCCTGGGAGACAGAGTAAGACTCTGTCTCCAAAAAAAAAAAAAAAAAGAGAAAAGGAATCACGTGCCCTAGGCAGAACTGTGTAACCCAGGCCTCAATTTGCTCAGGTGTAAAAGATGCATTCTAATCCCAAGAAGTGTTCATTAATTTTTTTAAGTACATGCATATGTGGAACCTAAGGGAGTTATAGCTAACTCTGTTCTCCGCAGTTTTATATAACTTTGACCAGCAGGAGTATTCCTAAAACTAGCTAGATAGGAGAGCTGTTTTATAGAAATTGTATCTCTTTTTGGTAATGAAACTAGGGGATCTTCTACTTGAAGCCTGAATCAAAAATGTAATACCAGCAGGCACAGCGGCTCATGCCTGGAATCCCAGCACTCCGTGAGCCAAGGCGGGTGGATCACCTGAGGTCAGCAGTGCAAGATCAGCTGGCTAACATGGTGAAACCCCATTTCTACTAAAAATACAAAAAAATTATCCAGGTGTGGTAGCACAGGCCAGTAATCCCAGCTACTCAGGAGGCTGAGGCAAGAGAATTGCTTGAATCCAGGAGGCAGAGGTTGCAGTGAGCCAAGATCGCACCATTGCACTCCAGCTAGGGCGACAAGAGCAAAACTCCATCTCAAAAAAAAACAAAACAAAAGTAAGACCATGTTGGACCAGGCATGGTTGCTCACGTCTATAATCTCAGCACTTTGGGAGGCCGAGGAGGGAGGGTTCCCGGAGCCCAGGCATTTGAGACCAGCCTGGGCAACATAGTGAGAGCTCATCTCTACTAAAAATTTAAAAAAGAAATTAGCCAGACTTGGTGGTATGTGCCTGAAATCCCAAGTATTCAGGAGGCTGAGGCAGGAGGATGGCTTGAGCTGAGGAGTTTTGAGGCATCTGTGAGTCATGATTGTGTCACTGCACTCCAGTCTGGGTGACAGAGTGAGATCATGTCTCAAAAAAAAAGGGCAAAATGTAACACCATTTTGGTCGTCTTTCCTTCCTTCCTTCCCTCCCTATCTCCCTCCCTCCCTCCTTCTTTCCTTCCTGTTTTTTTTTGAGATGGAGTCTTGCTCTGTCACCCAGACTGCAGTGCAGTCGCCTGATTGATCTCGGCTCACTGCAACCTCTGTCTCCCAGGTTCAAGGGATTCTTGTGCCTCAGCCTCCCTAGTAGCTGGGATTACAGGTGCGTGGCACTACGCTTAGCTGATTTTTGTATTTTTATTAGAGACGGGGTTTCACCATGTTGGCCAGAATGGTCTCGATCTCTTGATCTAGTGATCTGCCCCTCTCAGCCTCCCAAAGTGCTGGGATTACAGGTGTGAGCCACCAAGCCCGACCATAATACATTTTCTTTAAGTGCCACCTGCTTCTCCCTGATGCTAAGTTTTAGTATCATTTGGGTGGGCGAGGTGGTTTACACCTGTAATTTTAGCACTTTGGGGGGGCCAAAGGGGGTGGATCACTTGAGGTCAGGAGTTCGAGACCAGCCTGGCCAACATGGTGAAACCCCTGTCTCTATTGAAAATACAAAAATTAGCAGGGCATAGTGTGGGTGCCTGTAGTCCCAGCTACACAGGAGGCTGAGTCACAAGAATCGCTTGAACCCAGGAGGTGGTGTGTGTCGTGAGCCAAAATCAAACCATTACACTCAAGCCTGAGCAACAGAGTGAGATTACATCTAAAAAAAAAAAAAAAAGGCCAGGCGTAGTGGCTTACACCTATAATCCCAGCACTTTGGGAGGCTGAAGCAGGCAGATCACACTGTGAGGAGTTTGAGACCATCCTGGCTAACACGGTGAAACCCTGTCTCTACTAAAAATACAAAAAATTAGCCAGGCGTGGTGGCACATGGCTGTAGTCCCAGCTACCCAGGAGGCTGAAGCAGGAGAATTGCTTGAACCCAGGAGGTGGAGGTTGCAGTGAGCTGAGATCGCACCATTGCACTCCAGCCGGGGCAACAGAGTGAGATTCCATCTCAAAAAAAAAAGTTTTAGCATCATCAGCCAGTGGCTGTATCTTCCTGACTGATCAAGGCAAGGGTTGTGGAGCCTGTGGTGGGATTGGACCCGGTGTAACTGTCCCTAAAACCCATAGGGAAGGTCACAGCCAGGACAAGTTTCCTGCCAGTGTCTGTGGTCAGAGTGAGGACATAGCTCTCGTCAGGGGAGGAAGTTTCACAAGTCCTACACTCAGGGCCTGATGAAAGGGACTGTGTCCTGGGAGTCCCTGGGCAGCTTGTGAGTGCCAGATGACAGCCTGCAGGTGACTTTGCCACTTTTGACCTCCATCTATCCCTCTTTCAAACGGGAGGATGGGTCTCATTGTACAAGCTGATGAGGGTTTCAGCTGCTTGAAGTTTGGAGCCAGACAGACCCGGCTTTGAGAGTCGTCTCCATCATTTTCCAGTCCTGCTGTGTAGGTCACACACTCAGAGCTTCCCTCTCAGCCTCAATTTCTCCATTCATACGTGGAGAATGATGATTTCCATTTTCTTTCTTTCTTTCTTTCTTTTTTTTTTTTTTTTTTTATGAGACGGAGTTTCACTCTTGTTACCCAGGCTGGAGTGCAATGGCGCGATCTCGGCTCACCGCAACCTCCGCCTCCCGGGTTCAGGCAATTCTCCTGCCTCAGCCTCCTGAGTAGCTGGGATTACAGGCACACGCCACCATGCCCAGCTAATTTTTTGTATTTTTAGTAGAGACGGGGTTTCACCATGTTGACCAGGATGGTCTCGATCTCTTGACCTCGTGATCCACCCGCCTCGGCCTCCCAAAGTGCTGGGATTACAGGCTTGAGCCACCGCGCCCGGCCTCTTTCTTTCTTTTTTAAGATGGGGTTTCACCATGATGGCCAGGCTGGTCTTGAACTCCTGACCTCAGGTGACCCACACACCTCGGCCTCCCAAAGTGCTAGGATTACAGGCGTGAGCCACCGCGCCCGGCCTCTTTCTTTCTTTCTTGAGTGCAGTGGCACGAGCTCGGCTCACTGCAATCTCCACCTCCTGGGTTCAAGTGATTCTCCTGCCTCAGCCTCCCAAGTAGCTCGGATTACAGGTGCGTGCCACCATGCCTGGCTAAAATTTGTATTGTTAGTAGAGACAGAGTTTCACCATGTTGGTCAGGCTGGTCTCGAACTCTTGACCTCGTGATCCACCGGCCTCAGCCTCCCAAAGTGCTGGAATTACAGGCGTGAGCCACCGCGTCCAGCCTGATGATTTCCATTTTCTTGCCAGTTGGCTGTGAGCTAGGGACAGTGGTGGTGGGGATGGGAATGGTGTGTAGCCCTCGGTGTCTTCTCTATGTGAGAGCAAAGAGGCACAGAAACCTCAGATGTTGGCTCCCATGGGATAGCCTCTGGTGTCATTGAATGCCAGTTAGAGACAGCATTTTGTCACATTGCCTGTAAAAGCAAATCTAGGCCAGGCACAGTGGCTCACACCTGTAGTCCCAGCACTTTGGGAGGCTGGGGCAGGTGGATCACCTGAGGTCAGGAGTTTCAGACCAGCCTGACCAACGTGGCGAAACCCCATCTCTACTAAAAATACAAAAATTAGCCAAGTGTGGTGGTGCGTGCCTGTAATCCCAGCTACTTGGGAGGTGAGACAGGAGAAGTACCTGAACCCAGGACGGGGAGGTTGCTGTGAGCCAAGATGGCACCATTACACTCCAGCCTGGGCAATAAGGGTGAAACTCCGTCTTAAAAAAAAAAAAAAAAAGCAAATAAACAACAACAATAACAAAAAACAGCAGGCCGTGCGTGGTGGCTCACACTTGTAATCCCAGCACTTTGGGAGGCCGAGGCTGACAGATCACCTGAGGTCAGGAGTTCGAGGCCAGCGTGGCTAACGTGGTGAAACTCTCTCTACTAAAACCACAATAATTAGCCGGGCATGGTGGTGAGTGCCTGTAATCCCAGCTACGCGAGAGGCTGAGGCAGGAGTATCGCTTGAACCTGGGAGGCGGAGGTTGCAGTGAGCAGAGATCGTGCCACTACCCTCCAGCCTGGGACACAGAGCGAGACTCTAACTCAAAAAAAAAAAATCTCCATGGAAGAGGCGCAGTCACAGTTTTGATAATACACTCGACCACAAGGTCACACACACACACACACACACACACACACACTCGTAAAACAAGGAAAACAAGAGGACGGCGGAAAGAGAGTGACTGTTTTGTCTAGATTGCCGGGAAGAGACAGCAGAAGTGAGAACCTTTTTCATCAGCCGGATGGCACCTAGGATTTCGTCACCCCCCTGACTTCCTCTTCTTCAACGAGAACACCCATTGGTGAGCCGGGCAGGGCAGGAGGGAACTGAAAGGTAAGGAAGCACTATTTCAGCAAGAGGTCTCTCCTCCCCGTCTCGATCCTCCAGCCACTGGCACAGCCTCCCCCTGAAAATGATGCTGTGGGAGAAGCACTGGAGTTGCCCTGTGTCCCATGCCTAGGAACATCTCCACCTCCAGCTCCTCTCCTCTGGGGCTCACGGCAACCCCATGCTACGCACCGCAGGCAGGGACGGCCTCTGTCGCCTGTCCACCTACTTGGAAGAACTTGAGGCTGTGGAGCTGAAGAAGTTCAAGTTCTACCTGGGGACTGCGACAGAGCTGGGAGAAGGCGGCAGGATCCCCTGGGGACGCATGGAGACCGCGGGTCCCCTGGAAATGGCCCAGCTGCTCATCACCCACTTCGGGACAGCGGAGGCCTGGAGGCTGGCTCTCAGCATCTTTGAGTGGATGAACAGGAGGGACCTGTGGGAGAGAGGACAGAGAGAGGACCTGGTGAGGGGTAAGGAGGTGGTGGGAGAGGCAAGGCTAGGACCCCAGCCAGGCACGGTGGCTCACACCTGTAATCCCAGCACTTTGGGAGGCTGGAGAGGGCAGATGGCTTGCGGTAGGGAGTTCAAGACCAGCCTGGACAACATAGTGAGACTCTGTCTCTATAAAAAATAAAATTGACCTGGTGTGGTGATACCTACCTGTGATCCCAGCTTCTCAGGAGGTTGCGGTGGGAGGGTCACTTGAGAGCAAAAGGTCTAGACTGCAGTGAGCGATGATCCTGCCCCTGTACCCCAGCCTGGATGACAGAGCAAGACCTTCTGGAGTTTGAGACCAACCTGGCCAACACAGCAAAAACTGTCTCTCCTAAAAATGCAAAAAGGCCAGGCGATGTGGCTCACACCTATAATCCTAGCACTTTGGGAGGCCGAGACGGGTGGATCACCTGAGGTCAGGAGTTCAAAACTAGCCTGGCCAACATGGCAAAACCCCATCTCTATCAAAAATACAAAAATTAGCCAGGCATGGTGGTGCAAGCCTGTAATCCCCACTGCTTGGGAGGCTGAGGGAGGAGAATCGCTTAAACCCAGGAGGTGGAGGTTGCAGTGAGCCGAGATCACGCCACCGCACTCCAGCCTGCATGACGGGAGTGAGACTCCATCTCAAAAAAAAAAAAAAAAAAAATTAGCCAGGTGTGGTGGTACATGCCTGTAGTCCCAGCTACTTGGGAGGTTGAGGCACCAGAAGCGCTTGAACCTGGGAGGTGGCGATTGCAGTAAGCTGAGATCACATCACTGTACTCCAGCATGAGCAACAGAGTGAGACCCCATGTCAAAAAATATTTTAAAAAGAGATGACGTATCCTCACATTGCCCAGGCCGGTCTTGAACTCCTGGGCTCAGGAGAGCTTTTACCTTCACCTCCCAAAGTGCTGGGACCACAGACATGAATGACCACTGCCTGACCACCAATTCCCTTTTCTTTCATACTAATCACTGAGCCTGGAGACCTGGAATTCTAATTTATAGATAGACAGACAGACAGATAAATAAATAGTTACATAGATAGAATTTCAACTTTGTTTTTTTTTTTTGAAATGCAGTCTTGCTCTGTTGCCCAGGCTGGAGTGCAGTGGCCTGATCTCGTCTCACTGTGACCTCTAACCCCCAGGTTCAATTGATTCTCCTGCCTCAGCCTCCTGAGTAGCTGGAACTACAGGCACCCATCACCACACTTGGCTAATTTTTGTATTTTTAGTAGAGACGAGGTTTCACCATGTTGGCCAGGATGGTCTCAAATGCCTGACCCCAGGTGATCCACTGCCTCAGTCCTCCTAAGTACTTGGATAAGAGGCACGAGCCACTATGCCCGGCTAATTTCAACTTTTATTTTAGATTCAAGACGTACATATGCAGGTGTGTTACATGGGTATATTGAGTGATGCTTAGGTTTGGGGCAAGATTGATCCTATCACCCAGGCACTTCAACATAGTAGTCAGCAGTGAGTTTTCCAAGCTCCCCGGACGATGAGTCCTCAGTGCCTAGTGTTCCCATCTTTATGTCCAGGAGAACCCAATGTTCAACTTCTACTTATCAGTGAGAACATGCAGTCTTTGCTGTTCTATTCCTGCATGAGTTTGCTTGGGATAATGGCCTCCAGCTGCATCCATGTTCCTGCAAAGGACACGATTTGGTTGCTTTTATGTCTGTGTACGGAATTCTAATTTCACCCCTTTGGTCTTTGTTCACACTGTCTTCCTCCTTCTCCATCTTCTTTGCCTGGAAAACTATTACTTGTTTACTTACTGAAACCTTGAAGGCACTACCTTCTCTCCTTTTCTTTTAAGTTGTACTTGAAGTTCTGGAGTACATGTGCAGATCTTGCAGGATTGTTGCATAGGTACACACATGCCGTGGCGGTCTGCTGCCTCCATCCCTCACCCCTATCCCCCACCCCCGTCACCTACATCAAGCATTTCTCCCAATGTTATCCCTCCCCAACATCCCCACTGCACCCTTCCCCTTTTTTTTTATAGAGTCTCCCTCTGTCACCAGGCTGGAGTGCAGTGACACGATCTCAGCTCACTGCAACCTCCACCTCCTGGGTTCCAGCAATTCTCCTGCCTCTGCCTCCCAAGTAGCTGGAACTATAGGCGTACACCACCACGCCTGGCTAATTTTTGTATTTTTAGTAGAGACAGGATTTCACCATGTCGGCCAGCTCCTGACCTCAAATGATCTGCCTGCCTCGGCCTCCCAAAGTACTGGGATTAGAGGGGTGAGCCACCGTGCCTGGCTTGAGCTGTGGTTTTTAGTGTCATTTCTCACCTGGTTTATCTATTGAAACACAGACCCCCTCAAAGGCAGAGAGAGAGAATCTTGACTCACCTGTGTGGTTCTCTGTGATTCCAGTGTCTGGCTAGGGCTAGGAACAGAGTAAACCTTGATGAACATTTGCAGAATGAATAAGCAAGCCCTGCCAATAACTGGCTATACACAGCCACTTCTTCGAAGCTTAGTGACTCATGGTTAATGAGATGTGATCGTAGTTGTGTGCTGGGAAATGTTAAACATCTCTGAAAAAAACAGTCTTTAATGACTCTGAAAAAGCAAAGGCACTTGTTGGTAGCATTTATTTCCTTTTTTTTTTTTTTTAAAGAGCCTGGGCTTCGCCATATTGGCCAGGCTGATCTCGAGCTCCTGACCTTGTGATCCGTTCACCTTGGCCTCCCAAAGTGCTGGGATTATAGGTGTCAGCCATTGCACCCGGCCTTTTTTTTTTTTTTTCCTGAGATGAAGTTTTGCTCTTGTCACCCAGGCTGGAGTGCATTGGTGAGATCTAGGCTCACTGCAACCTCCTTCTCCCAGGTTCAAGCAATTCTCCTGCCTCAACCTCCCTAGTAGCTGAGATTACAGGCGGGCATCACCACACCCAGCTAATTTTTGTATTTTTAGTAGAGATGGGGTTTCACCATGTTGTCCAGGCTGGTCTCCAACTCCTGACCTCAGGTGATCCACCTGCCTCAGCCTCCCAAAGTGCTGAGATTACAGGCAGGAGCCACTGAGCCTGGCCAGCATTTTAAATTTCTGGGTGTAAATCATTTCAGCACGGCTAATTTCAAGCTACCAAAATTACAAGTCAAGCAGCTGGTAATTTGTAGTTTTGGTTTTGTTTTTTGTTTTTTGGTTTTTTTTGAGATGGAGTGTTGCTCTGTCACCCAGGCTGGAGTGCAGTGGTGTGATCTCAGCTCACTGCAACCTCTGCCTCGTAGGTTCAGGCGATTCTCCTGCCTCAGCTTCCCAAGTAACTGGAATTACAAACGTATACCACCACACCCGGCTAATTTTTGTATTTTCATTTTATTTACTTTTTGAGATGGAGTTTTGCTCTTATTGCGCAGGCTGGAATGCAAATGACATGATCTTGGTTCACTGCAACCTCCACCTCCTGGGTTCAAGGAATTGTCCTCCAGGGTAGCTGGTATTACAGGCACGCCCTACCACGCCCAGCTAATTTTTACATTTTTTAGTAGAGATGGGGTTTCACTATGTTGGCCAGGGTGGTCTCGAACTCCTGGATTCAGGTGATCCACCCGCCTTGGCCTCCCAAAGTGTTGGGATTACAGGCGTGAGCCACTGTGCCTGGATGAAATTGAACACTAGGCTCTTTGCAGCCAGTGTTGTGTGATGGGAACAGATAAACCTCTTATGTCCTCCTCAGACTTCATCTCATACAGCTTTTTCTCCCTTGTCTTTATTAGATCTTTTGGAGGTGCCCTGTGCATGGGGGTTATGAGGCTGGGCCACTTCTTTACTTAGATACAGACAGGAAAATTGAAGTGGTATCAGCAACAAAGTAGGAAAAAAGTATCACCCAGGCACAGTGGCTCACGTCTGTAATTCCAGCACTTTCAGAGCCTGAGGCCGGTGGATCACAAGGTCAGGAGTTCAAGACCAGCTTGGCCAATATGATGAAACCCTGTCTCTACTAAACATACAAAAATTAGCCAGGCGTGGTGGCGGGCGCCTGTAGTCCCAGCTACTCAGGAGGCTGAGGCAGGAGAATGGCTTGAACTCAGGAGGCGGAGGTTGCAGTGAGCCAAGATTGCGCCACTGCACTCCAGCCTGGGTAACAAAGCAAGACTCTTTCTCAAAAAAAAAAAAAAAAAGAGTATCAATGTACTTACTTGTCATTTTGCATAATCATATCTAAATATAAGTGTCACACAGTTATTTTATGAAATGGAAACAATGTACAAATATAGAATAAAAAGTAAAGTCCCACTTCTTTCCCTCTTCCGCCTCAATCTCTCCCAGCATGGACAATGCATAACAATTTGGTAAGCGGGTGAGCATTTTTCTCTGGACAGCATCTGTTTACTGTACTGAGAGGCAGCTCACAGCTCAGTGTTCCCAGGGAGGCAGATGTCTAGCTTTGCTATTTTTTTTCTTTTTTTTGAGATCGAGTTTTGCTCTTGTCACCCAGGCTGGAGTACAGTGGTGTGATCTCGGCCCACTGCAACCTCTGCCTCCCGGGTTCAAGCAATTCTCTTGCCTCAGCCTCCCTCCTGGGACTACAGGCACACGCCACCATGCTCAGCTAATTTTTGTATTTGTAGCAGAGGTGGGGTTTCACCATGTTGGCCAGGATGGCCTCAATCTCTTGACCTTGTGATCTGCCTGACTTGGCCTCCCAAAGTGCTGGGATTACAGGTGTGAGCCACCACACCTAGCCAAGCTTTGCTCTTTCTGTCTGTGTGATGCCAGAGGATTGATGTACCCCTCTGGGCTTCCGTCTCCATCTGTAAAACAAAGGGCATCAGAGGAGACCAGCAGTTCTCATGTTACTATGGGTAAGAGTCTCTCGAGACCGTTGTGGAGAATGGGGAACCCAAGAACCCCCCAACCCTACAGATTCTGATCCAGCAGGTCTGGGGCACCAGGAACCTGCATTTGGATGTGGGTGGTTCTCACAGCATGTTTAGGAAACACTGAGGGAGAACATCTCTGAGGCCTGTCTCAGCTGCAATTTTCTTTTTGGGAGATGGAGTTTCACTCTTGTTGCCCAGGCTGGAGTGCAATGGCATGATCTCGGCTCATTGCAATCTCCACCTCCTGGGTTCAAGCAATTCTTCTGCCTCAGCCTCCTGAGTACCTGGGATTACAGGCATGCGCCACCACACCCAGCTAATTTTTGTAGCTTTCTAGCAGAGACCGGGTTTCACCATGTTGGCCAGGTTGGTCTCGATCTCCTGACCTCGTGATCCACCCATCTCGGCCTCCCAAAGTGCTGGGATTACAGGTGTGAGCCACCGCTCCCAGCCTCAGCTGCAATTTTCAAGGATTACCTTTAAAAAAAAAACTTAGACCCAGAGCAGTGGCTCACCCCTGTATTCCCAGCACTGCGAGGCCAAGGATGGCGGATTGCCTGATGTGAGGAGTTCGAGACCAGCATGGCCAACATGGTGAAATCCTGTCTACTAAAAAACTTAGCCAGTTGTGGTGACAGGTGCCTGTAATCTCAGATACTCAGGAGGATGAGACAGGGGAATCGCTTGAACCCAAGAGGTGGAGGTTTTAGTGAGCTGAGATCGTGCCACTGCACTCCAGCCTGGGAGACAGAGTGAGACTATGTCTCTAAATAAAAATAAGTAATAAAATAGCGTGAGATGACTGAACATACCAGAGCCAGCACTGAGCAGATGAAAGACAACAGTTTATTAGTTGCACAGACTCACAGGGAAGGTGTCTCATATGCCAGGAGGGTGGCACAGGAATTGCAGATGGGAACAGCATGAAGCTAGAGGGCTGTGGGAGGTGGGCTGGGTAGTAATGAGGGTGCTTCCTGGCTCTGGCAAGAGGATGTGCTTTGCTTTCGTGAATCATTTCACGGACTAGCAACCAGCAGGGCAGTGAAAACTTGTCAGAGTGAGTACCAGACGGGGTGCGGCTGGGTCAGCTGACAGGAGAACTAGCCAGGTGGGGAGCCTTTCCCACTGGGCGGGCAGCGTATCAGGTGAGAGCATTGGCACTCACACTTAGGACTTCAGGGGTCTTCTCAGGACCAAAGATGCCAAGGAAGGACTGACAAGTAGAATCTTATGATATATCCAGACAAAAACCTTTTTTGGCTTGGGCACAATGGCTTACACATGTATTTCCAAGACTTTGAGAGGCCAAGTTCAGAGGAATCTTTGAGGCCAGGAGTTCCAGACCAGCCTGGGTAACATACTGTGACCTAATCTCTACCAAAAAATAAAAATAAAAAATATTTTTCTGTTGGGTCCAGTGGCTCATGCCTGTTATCCCAACACTTTGAGAGGCTGAGGTTAGGAGTTCAAGACCAGCCTGGCCAACGTGGTGAAAACTCATCTTTACTAAAAATAGAAAAATTAGTTGGGAATGGTGGCACATGCCTATAATCCCAGCTACTTGGGAGGCTGAGGCAAGAGAATTGCTTGAACTGGGACCCAGGAGGTGGAGGTTGCAGTGAGCCAAGATCAAGCCAATGCACTCCAGCCTGGGGTACAGAGTGAGACTCTGATTTAAAAAAAAAAAAAAATCTTTTTAAGAGACCGAGTTTTGCTGTTGCCCAGGCTAGACTGCAAGGCTGTGATCATAGCTCAGGACTACAGCCTTGAATTCCTGGGCTCAAGCAATCCTCCTGCCTCGGCCTCCTGCCAGGACTACAGGTGTACAACACCACCACCACCCCTTCTTATTTTTCTTTTTTTTTTTTTTTTGAGATGGTGTCTTACTCTGTCACCCAGGCTGGAGTGCAGAGGCACAATCTCAGCTCACTGCAACCCCCGCCCCCATCCTGGGTTCAAGCAATTCTCCTGCCTCAGCCTCCTAAGTAGCTGGGATTATAGGCAGGCACCATGACACCCAGCTAATTTTTTTTATCTTTAGTAGAGACAGGGTTTCGCCATGTTGACTAGGCTGGTCTTGAACTTCTGGCCTCAAGTGATTTGCCCACTTTGGCCTCCCAGAGTGCTAGGATTAAAGGCATGGGCCACTGCATCCAGCCTAATTTTTTTGGGAGAGTTGGGGTCTCATCATCTTGCCCACCCTGGCCTTGAACTACTGAACTCAAGCAATCTTCCTGCCTCAGTTTCCCTAAGTGCTGAGATTATAGGTGCAAGGCACCAGGCCTGGCAAGAATTTTTTCTTTTTTTGAGATGGAGTCTCAGTCACCCAGGCTGGAGTGCAATGGCACAATCTCGGCTCACTGCAACCTCTGCCTGCCAGGTTCAAGCAATCTTCCTGCTAAGCATTCCAGTAGCTGGGATTACAGGAACATGCCACTATGCCTGGCTAATGTTTGTATTTTTAGTAGAGATGGGGTGTCACCATGTTGGCCAGTCTGGTCTCGAACTCCTGACAGGTGATTCACTCGCCTTGACCTCCCAAAGTGCTGGGATTACAGGTGTGAGCCACTTTGCCCAGCATTTTTGTATTTGTGGTAGAGAGGGGGGTTTCATCATATTGGTCAGGCTGGTCTTGAACTGCTGACCTCGTGATCTGCCTGCCTTGACCTCCCAAAGTACTGGGATTACAGGTATGAGCCACCACCGACAAAGTGTTTATTTTTGATGTGCTGAGCTCCCTGCACCATTAGAATATAAGGTCCCTGAAGTAGGAACCTCATGTCTTGTTTATTGCTATGTACCCAGTGACTAGAACAATGGCTGGGTAATGTTGGTGCCCAATGTATGTGTATTTTTAAATGGCTGATGGGCCGGGCCTGGTGGCTCAGGCCTATAATCTCAGCACTTTACGAGGCCAAGGTGGGGTTCAAGACTAGCCTGGCCAACATGGTAAAACAACGTCTCTACTAAAAATACAAAAATTAGCCGGGTGTGGTGGCACAGGCCTGTAATCCTAGCCACTTGGGAGACTGAGGCAGGAGAATCGCTTGAACCTGGGAGATGGCTGTTGTTGTGGGCCAAGGTATTGTATACTGTACCACTACATTCCAGCCTGGGTGACAGGGCAAAGAAAAGAAGCTGGATGAGAAGTAGCCGAGAGCTGATGAGAGAGGAGTCTGGACTGAGTCAGAACTTCCGTCAAAAAGACTGATTGGGGCCGGACGCGCCTGTTACCCCAGCACTTTGGGAGGCCGAGGTGGGCGGATCACGAGGTCAGGAGTCCGAGACCAGCCAATACAAAAATTAGCTGTGCGCCTGTAATCCCAGCTGCTTGGGAGGCTGGGGCAAAAGAATCACTGAACCTGCGAGGTGGAGGTTGCAGTGAGCCAAGATCACACCTCTGTGCTTCATCCTGGGTGACAGAGTGAGACTCACTCTCAAAAAAAAAAAAAGAGGCCGGGCGCGGTGGCTCAAGCCTGTAATCCCAGCACTTTGGGAGGCCGAGGCGGGTGGATCACGAGGTCAAGAGATCAAGACCATCCTGGTCAACATGGTGAAACCCCGTCTCTACTAAAAATACAAAACATTAGCTGGGCATGGTGGCACGTGCCTGTAATCCTAGCTACTCAGGAGGTTGAGGCAGGAGAATTGCCTGAACCCAGGAGGCGGAGGTTGCGGTGAGCCGAGATCGCGCCATTACACTCCAGCCTGGGTAACAAGAGTGAAACTCCATCTCAAAAAAAAAAAAAAAAAAAAAAAAAGACTGATTGGATGGATGGAGGTGCCAATGACCATGAGGGGCACCCAGGAAGGAGGGTGGGCTACAGGGAACAAGGGGTGAGCTGTTCCCCACACATGGCCTGTGCAGTGGCTACTGAACATTCCGGGGCGTGGGTGAATAGGGGGTTATGGAGGCATTTTAATGTGATCGAGGCTAATACCACAGTGCTCCTAGCCAGATGCATGCCAGCTGATCCTCTACAATTTCTCTCTCAGATACCCCACCTGGTGGCCCATCCTCACTTGGGAACCAGTCAACATGCCTTCTGGAAGTCTCTCCTGCCACTCCAAAGAAAGGTGAGCCTCAAGCCAGGTACCTACATGTATGTAATCTACATGTGTAATCTACACAAAGCTGATGACCCAATGGAGCCTAGGCCAAGCGCAGATGGCACGATTTATTTTTTCTGCAACAGAGTCTCATGCTGTCGCCTAGGCTGGAGTGTGGTGGGCTGATCTCAGGTCACTGCAACCTCCGCCTCCCGGTTCAAGCAATTCTCCTGCCTCGGTTTCCCAAGTAGTTGGGATTACAGGCACTCACCACCATGCCCGGCTAATTTTTTATTAGTAGAGATGGGTTTCACCCCCGTGATCCCCCAGCCTCGGTCTCCCAAAGTGCTGGGATTACAGGTGTGAGCCACCACATCTGGCCTAATTTTACTTTTTGGGACAGAGTTTTTGCTCTTATCGCCCAGGTTGGAAAGCAGTGGCTTGACCTCAGCTCACTGCATCCTCCACCTCCTGGGTTCAAGTGATTCTTCTGCCTCAGTCTCCGAGTAGCTGGGGCTACAGAAGCACACCACCATGCCCAACTAACTTTTGTATTTTTAGTAGAGATGGGGTTTCGCCGTGTTGGGCAGGCTGGTCTCGAACTCCTGACCTTAGGTGATCTGCTCAACCTTGGCCTCCAAAAGTGCTGGGATTACAGGCCTGAGTCACCATGCGGGGTGAAAAGGGAAGATCTTTACAAAGAAGGACGAAGGTTCTCAGGTTCCTTTTTGAAAACTGTCTCAAGGATATTGGGGAGCAAGTGGGTGCTAGGCCATGGTTTTTTTTGAGGAGTCTTGCTCTGTTGCCCAGGCTGGAGTGATCTCAGTTCACTGCAACCTCCACCTCCTGGATTCAAGCAATTCTCCCATCTCAGCCTCCCAAGTAACTGGGACTACAGGCACATGCCCTCTTTGACCCAGACGAGGAGTACTTTTCCTCATGAACTCATTAGAGGTTGCTGATGAGTATTCCACAAAACCTTCCTTCCTCTCCCCTAGATCCCCAGGAAACCTACAGGGATTACGTCCGCAGGAAATTCCGGCTCATGGAAGACCGCAATGCGCGCCTAGGGGAATGTGTCAACCTCAGCCACCGGTACACTCGGCTCCTGCTGGTGAAGGAGCACTCAAACCCCATGCGGGCCCAGCAGCAGCTTCTGGACACGGGCCGGGAACACGCGAGGACCGTGGGACACCAGACCAGCCCCATCAAGATAGAAACCCTCTTTGAGCCAGACGAGGAGCGCCCCGAGCCACCGCGCACCGTGGTCATGCAAGGGGCGGCGGGGATAGGCAAGTCCATGCTGGCTCACAAGGTGATGCTGGACTGGGCGGACGGGAAGCTCTTCCAAGGCAGGTTTGATTATCTCTTCTACATCAACTGCAGGGAGCTGAACCAGAGTGCCGCGGAACGCAGCATGCGAGACCTCATCTCCAGCTGCTGGCCGGAGCCCAGCGCGCCTCTGCGGGAGCTAGTGCGCGTTCCCGAGCGTCTCCTTTTCATCATCGACGGCTTCGATGAGCTCAAGCCCTCTTTCCACGATCCTCAGGGACCCTGGTGCCTCTGCTGGGAGGAGAAACGGCCCACGGAGCTGCTCCTTAGCAGCTTAATTCGGAAGAAGCTCCTCTCTGAGCTATCTCTGCTCATCACCACGAGGCCCACAGCGTTGGAGAAGCTCCACCGTCTGCTGGAGCACCCCAGGCACGTGGAGATCCTGGGCTTCTCGGAGGCCGAGAGGAAGGAGTACTTCTACAAGTATTTTCAAAATGCAGAGCAGGCAGGCCACGTCTTCAACTACGTGAAGGACAACGAGCCTCTCTTCACCATGTGCTTCGTGCCCCTGGTGTGCTGGGTGGTCTGCACCTGCCTCCAGCAGCAGCTGGAGAGTGGGGGGCTGCTGAGACAGACATCCAGGACCACCACTGCGGTGTACATGCTCTACCTGCTGAGTCTGATGCAACCCAAGCCCGGGACCCCGCACCTCCAGCCCCCACCCAACCAGAGAGGGTTGTGCTCCCTGGCGGCAGACGGGCTCTGGAATCAGAAAATCCTGTTTGAGGAGCAGGACCTCCGCAGGCATGGCCTGGACGGGGCAGACGTGTCCGCCTTCCTCAACATGAACATCTTCCAGAAGGACATCAACTGTGAGAGGTACTACAGCTTCATCCACCTGAGCTTCCAGGAATTCTTCGCAGCTATGTACTATCTCCTGGACGAGGGCGAGCGTGCGGCAGGCCCAGAGCAGGACGTGAACAGGCTGTTGGCCGAGTACGAGTTTTCAGAAAGGAGCTTCCTGGCACTCACCATCCGCTTCCTCTTCGGGCTGCTGAACGAGGAGACCAGGAGCCACCTGGAGAAGGGTCTCTGCTGGAAGGTCTCGCCGCACATCAAGACGCAGCTGTTGCAGTGGATCCAGAGCAAAGCGCAGAGCACCGGCTCCACCCTGCAGCAGGGCTCCCTGGAGTTCTTCAGCTGCCTGTACGAGATCCAGGAGGAGGAGTTTATCCAGCAGGCCCTCAGCCACTTCCAGGTGATCGTGGTCAGCAACATCGCCTCCATGATGGAGCACATGGTCTCCTCGTTCTGCCTGAAGAACTGCAGGAGCGCCCAGGTGCTGCACTTGTATGGCGCCACATACAGCGCGGACAGGGAAGACCGGGCTAGGTGCTCTGCAGGGACCCACACGCTGTTGGTGCAGCTGTAAGTATCTCTGGGGCTGCTCAGGTTCATGCATGCATGCATGTATGCATGCATGCATTCATTGACTCCTTCATTCTGAAACGAAGTCTCTCTCAGTCTCCTAGGCTAGAGTGCCATGGCACAATCTCAGCTCACTGCAGCCTCTGCCTCCCGGGTTCAAGCGATTCTCCTGCCTCAGCCTCTGGAGTAGCTGGAATTTCAGGCGTGCACCAACACTCCCAGCTAATTTTGTATTTTTTTTGAGACAGATTTTCGCTCGTTACCCAGGCTGGAGTGCAATGGCGCGATCTCGGCTCACCGCAATCTCTGCCTCCTGGGTGCAGGCAATTCTCCTGCCTCAGCCTCCTGAGTAGCTGGGATTACAGGCACGCGCCACCATGCCCAGCTAATGTTTTGTATTTTTAGTAGAGACGGGGTTTCACCATGTTAACCAGGATGGTCTCGATCTCTTGACCTTGTGATCCACCCGCCTCGGCCTCCCAAAGTGCTGGGATTACAGGCATGAACCACTGCGCCCGGCCTAATTTTGTATTTTTAGTAGACACAGGGTTTCTCTATGTTGGTCAGGCTGGTCTCAAACTCCCGACCTCGGGTGATCCGCCTGCCTGGGCCTCCCAAAGTGCTGGGATTACAGGCGTGAGTCACCATGTCCAGCTTTTTTTTTTTTTTTTTTTTTGCTTTTTGAAATGAAGTCTCTCTTGGTCTCCTAAGCTGGAGTGCAGTGGCATAATCTCGGCTTGCTACAGCCTCTGCCTCCCTAGTTCAAGCGATTCTCCTGTCTCAGCCTCCCCAGTAGCTGGGGTTACAGGCACCAACCACCATACCATGCCAGGATAATGTTTGTAATTTTAGTGGAGAGGGTTTCGCCATGTTAGTCAGGCTGGTCTTGAATTCCTGACCTTACGTGGTCCGCCCACCTTGGTCTCGAGGTTCATGCTCTTGACCACTGCCTCTCAACTAGGGGTGATTTTGTTCTGATATTTGGCAGTTATCTGGAGACATATTTTTGGTCGTCACAACTGGGAAGCAAGTAACACTACTGACACCTAGTGGATAAAGGCTGGGAGTGCTGCCAATGTCCTACAATACACAGAAGACTCCCTCTGGCCCCAAGTATCAATACTGTCACTGTAGCGATTAAACACCACCCCCTGGGGCTAAATTGATGTCGATATCAAGGAGAATTTATTCACTCAACAAACATTACTAAGTCCCTTTTTCTCACTGTCACCCAGGGAGGAGTCCAATGGCGCAATCTTGGCTCACTGCAACCTCCGCTTCCCGGGTTCAAGCAATTCTCCTGCCTCAGCCTCACAAGTAGCTGGGACTACAGGCACGTGCCACCACACCCGGCTAATTTTTTTGAATTTTTAGTAGAGAGAGGGTTTCACCATATTAGCCAGAATGGTCTCAATCTCCTGGCCTTGTGATCTGCCTCGCCCCCTTCTTCGAGACTGAGTAACCAAGCTCCGTAACCTCAAGTGATCCACACATCTCGGCCTCTCAAAGTGCTGAGATTACAGGTGAGAGCCACTGCGCCCAGCTCTATGTCCCTTTTATCTGTGGACCGAAAAATCTCGTGTAGACAGAAAACAGTGTGAATAAGCCACTGCTCCCAACAGAGCACCCATCCTAATGAGAACAGAGACAGATAATAAAGAGGCAAACAAGTAAACCAACTAATTAATGATTCAGAGTTTCAGATAGAGCCAGGTGCAGCCTGGACAACATAAGGAGACCCCAACCTCTAAAAAAAATTGCTGGGCATGATGACGCACACCTGTAGTCCCAGCTTCTTGGGAGAATTGCTTAAGCCTAGGAGGTCAGGCCTGTAGTGAGCCTTGATCTCACCACGCACTCCAGCCTAGACAACAGAGCAAGACCCTCCCCCCGCTCCGCCTGCCCCGCCCCAGCAAAAATAAATAAATAAATAAATAAAAGATAGCATGCTTCGGCCAGGCACAGTGGCTGCCACCTATAATCCCAGCACTTTGGGAGGCCGAAGCAGGCAGATTACCTGAGTCCAGGAGTTCAAGATCAGCTGGGCCAACATGGTGAAACCCTGTCTCTACTAACAATACAAAAATTAGCTGGGTGTAGTGGTGCATGCCTGTAATCCCAGCACTTTGAAAGGCCGAGGTGTGTGGATCACCAGATGTCGGGAGTTCGAGACCAGCCTGACCAACATGGTGAAACCCCATCTATACTAAAAATACAAAAACAGCCAGGTGTGATGGCTCATGCCTGTAATCCCAGCTACTCGGGAGACTGCGGCAGGAGAAATGCTTGAACCCGGGAGGTGGAGGTTGTAGTGAGCTATCACGCCACTGCATTCCAGCCTGGGCAATAAGAGCAAAACTCCATCTAAAAACAAAATACAAAATTAGCCAGGCCTGGTGGCACATGCCTATAATCCCAGATACTTGGGAGGCTGAGGCAGGAGAATCGCTTGAACCCGGGAGGCAGAGGTTACAGTGAGCTGATATTGTGCCATTTCACTCCAGGCTGGGCAACAAGAGCAAAACTCCATCTCAAAAAAAATAGCATGCTTCATAAACTGTGAAGTGACATAAAAAGGCCATATTGACAAGCACCCAGTAACACCAGAGAGTGGCCTGTCTTTCCTCCATGCAGACCGGAGAGGACCTTTCTGCTGGATGCCTACAGTGAACATCTGGCCTCGGCCCTCTGCACCAATCCGAACCTGATTGAGTTGGCTCTGTACCGAAATGCCCTGGGCAGCCGGGGGGTGAAGCTGCTCTGTCAAGGACTCAGACACCACAACTGCAAACTTCAGAACCTGAGGTGAGTGTGGGCTGGTCTGGGACTTTCTGGTGGTCCCCACCTTGGGCTCTCATGGGGCTTGGTCACAAACATTGTATCATGGGATGGTGTATTCGTTGGCTAGAGCAGCCATTAAAAAGTGCCACAAAGCAGGGCATGGTGGCTCACACCTGTAATCCCAGCACTTTGGGAAGCCACAGCCGGCGGATCACCTGAGGTCAGGAGTTCAAGACCAGCCTGGCCAACATGGCAAAACACCACCTCTATGAAAAAATACAAAAATTAGCAGGGTGTGGTACCATACACCTGTAATCCCAGCTACTTGGGAGGCTGAGGTGGGAGAATCACTTGAACCTGGGAGGCAGAGGTTGCAGTGAGCCGAGATCGTGTCAGTAAACTCCAGTCTGGGTGATACATTGAGACTCCGTCTAAAAAAAAAAAAAAGCACCAAAGACGGTGGCTTTGACCACATAAATGTATTTCTCAAGGTGGGAAGGCGGGGGGTGCTGGAAGTCCAAGGTGAAGGTGTGGGCAGATTGGGTTCTTCTGAGGCCCCTCTCCCAGGCCTACAGATCACTGCCTTCTGTCTTCACCTGCTCATCCTGCTGTGTCTGCCTCCAGATTCTTTTACTTTTTTTTTTTTTTAATTTTTGAGACACAGATGTGCTCTGTCGCCCAGGCCAGAGTGCAGTGGCAGTCACTCACTCACTGCAGCTGCAAATTCCTGGACTCGAGCGATCCTTTTGTCTCAGCTTCACGGGGAGATGGGGAGGCAAGCACGTGCAACCACAACCAAAAAATTTTAGTATTTTTTGGAGAGACGGGGTTTCACCATGTTGCCCAGGCTGGTCTCGAACTCCTGGCCTCAAGTGATCCTCCCTCCTCAGCCTCCCTAACTGTTGAGATTACAGGTGTGAGACATGGTGCCTAGCCAACTGTTTTTTATTTTTTGAGATAGTCTCGCTCTGTCACCTGGGCTGGAGTGCAGTGATGCAATCTTGGCTCACAGCAACCTCCACCTCCATGGTTCAAGTGATTCTGCTGCCTCAGCCTCCTCCAGTAGCTGAGATTACAGGCATGCATCACCACACCCAGCCAATTTATTTTTAGTAGAGATGGGGTTTCACATGTTGGTCAGGTTGTCTCAAACTCCTGACCTCAAGTGATCCACCACGTTCGCCTCCCAAAATGCTGGGATTACAGGGTTGAGTCACCACACATAGCCTTGAATTTCTTTAAGGGGAACTTCTGTGAATGTATTTCTCTGACTACAAAGCATCACCACACTTCATATTGTTTTTGTTGCTTTTGACAGGTAAAATTTATCATGTACAACATGTTGATTTGAAATAAATATATTGGCCAGGCATGATAGCTCACACCTGTAATCCCGTCACTTTGGGAGGGCAAGGCAGGAGGATCACTTGAGCCCAGGAGTTCAAGACCAGTCTGGCCAACATGGAGAAAGCCCGTCTCTACTAAAATTTATAAAAATTAGCCAGGCATAGTGCTGGGATCCTGTAATTGCCGCTACTCAGGAGGCTGAGGCAGAAGAATTGCTTGAACCCAGGAGACGGAGGTTGCAGTGAGCCGAGATTGCACCACTGCACTCCAGCATGGGTGACAGAGCAAGACTCTGCCTCAAAAAAAAAAAAAAATATATATATATATATAAATTAAAAATGAACTCTCAGCTAAAAGAAGTTCTTTTGGCCGGGCGTGGTGGCTCACTCCTGTAATCCAAACACTTTGGAGGCCAAGGCGGGCAGATCAGCTGAGGTCGGGAGTTTAAGGCTAGCCTGACCAACATGGTGAAACCCCGTCTTAAAAAAAAAAAGAAGGGCCGGGCGCAGTGGCTCAAGCCTGTAATCCCAGCACTTTGGGAGGCTGAGGCGGGTGGATCACGAGGTCAAGAGATCGAGACCATCCTGGTCAACATGGTGAAACCCCGTCTCTACTAAAAATACAAAAAATTAGCTGGGCATGGTGGCGCGTGCCTGTAATCCCAGCTACTCAGGAGGCTGAGGCAGGAGAATTGCCTGAACCCAGGAGGCGGAGGTTGCGGTGAGCCGAGATCGCGCCATTGCACTCCAGCCCGGGTAACAAGAGTGAAACCCGGGCGACCAAAATGGAGAAACCCCATCTTAAAAAAAATCAGGGCCGGGCGCGGTGGCTCAAGCCTGTAATCCCAGCACTTTGGGAGGCCGAGGCGGGTGGATCACGAGGTCAAGAGATCGAGACCATCCTGGCCAACGTGGTGAAACCCCGTCTCTACTAAAAATACAAAAAAAAAATTAGCTGGGCATGGTGGTGCGTGCCTGTAGTCCCAGCTGCTCAGGAGGCTGAGGCAGGAGAATTGCCTGAGCCCAGGAGGTGGAGGTTGCGGTGAGCCGAGATCGCGCCATTGCACTCCAGCCTGGGTAACAAGAGCGAAACTCCGTCTCAAAAAAAAAAAAAAA